TTTTTTGAATTCTTTGTATTAAAAATTAATTTTAGAGCCATCATATACATTGTTTTTTGTGCCAAAAATGCTTTTCGGATGAGAATTTCATATGAAGCTTTATTTTATTTTCATATAGTCTAGGCCCTATAAAAACTTCATCTAGCAAGTAGTGCTTTCTTAGGATGCTCTCACAGGAACATAGTACATGTTTAGCAATCAACATCAAACCATAGTACATGTTTAGCAGTCACCATCAAACCAGACTCATTAAAATTTTCAATCAAATGAAATAACTAAAATAGCCTTCAAACTTCTACTTAGTTATTTGATTTTAGGGTGCGGACCATATGAGGTGCGCGCTCTATATTGCGTACCTCCAAAGTTTATCTAGGGATGTAGTTTTCGTGTCGAGAACTTTATGATGTCTTAAATTAATTTTCATCTCTAGTTATGAAATTGTAAATTTTAAAAATAATATATATGGAGTAAATTTGTAAATACTTGAAAATCTTAAAAATAGATGGTTTAGATAATTTGTTACAAGTCGTTTACAAGACTTAAAATTCTATTGTCTTATTATCCATATATCTAGAGGTAGAGATGATCAATTGGAAGGTTCTCCTTTCTAGAAAAATAAAGAAGTCAAATATGAAACGCACTACAACATCTAATTAAGGTAAGATAGTAGGGATCCAAACCAAAGCTAATGGCACCATTATGCGGCAATCTAACAATAGATGAGCTTTTTCCAATATATATATATAAAAGTTGGGGTTAGCCCACTAGCTCATATGAACATATGAGCCCAATGGCCCAGATTGAATCTAGGCCGATCTGACGATCACGGATGTCCAGCAGTGTTTGAATTTTATTTTATTTTTTTATAAATACAAATCACTTGAAATTTTAGACGTGTGTTCATAAAAAATAGATAAATCTTCGAAAAATATCACAAAAATATTTTACATGAAATAAATTGACCAAAATACCATCGAAAAGTTTTGAGGGGTATTTTGGTTTTTGTTTTTAGAATGTTTTTTTTTATATTTTTATTATGTGCGCCTTGATGAGAAGAACACACACTTAAAATTTCAAGTGATTTAGATCTATAGAAAAAAAAAATTTCAAGCACTATTAGACATCCGTGATCGTCAGATCGGCTCAGATTCAATCTGGACCGTTGG